AAAGGCTTTGAGAGGGTGCCCAATGTACCAAGGCTGATCCTTGCTGCATGTCATGTATTAAAAGTTCATTTCAGCCAAATAAAAAACAAACATAGTTCTTGTGGTATTATATGATTTGTTTTACAATAAAAATCTAGTCTATTCTAAAATACATGTTCTCTGCCATAACCTCTTTAAAAGTTCTTTCACAGCTGCACTATAGAAATACAAGCCATTTACAGTAAATATAGTGTACATTTATGGACAGAATTAGAATTAGTTAGAATTAGTCATTTAGTGCAAATTGTCTCCAAAACTTTGGGTTAGCATACCTCAGCTCATTAGTGTCCTAAACACAGAGATTCATCAACTGTAATCACATAATTCATAATAATCATGCTGTGTATAAATTATGGTTTGTGGTTTGCCATTTCAGGTTAAAACTGAGCATTATTCAAAGAACACTGGCCCGTATTAGAAGGTTTTTCAAACACAGGGGAGGATTAGCTTTAGAAGAGATTTGGAGAATGATGGTTAGATGACCAAATGCAGTGTAATTTGGTATATCCAAGGATTTGGACACTCATCCACAAAAAAAATAAAAATCTAATGAGCAGCAATTCAAAACAGAGCACGAAGACCTGCAGTGCAAACACAACCTAATGCTCTTTGAAGTGCAGGGTGACCATGAAAGGTATAGTCAGCTTTCTCCCCTGAGGAGGTGAGTTTTACCGTACAGTATTTAGGGCAGACACAACTGTCCTCTTATGTCTTAGTGGGTCAAGGAGCGTAAGTGGCCTGTAAAGCTAGCCAGAAAGTCCTGTGGGAATTCAAAAGGAAAAAATCCTATAGGCCATTTTCTTTTTTTTTTTTAACTCGGCAACCCATCTAAGCATGTCAGTGGTGCTTATAAGCAGATGGTGCAGTGCAGTTCCACAGCCTCTCTTTAAAAACTGCTTCTCTCTCTGCACACTCTGTGAAACTACATTAACTTGATTAAGACTTACTGTATGAAAGCTATTACAAATTAAATTGTGGCAAAACAGTGAAAGGTTAGATAGAACAACAGGGAGTCTTCCAAATAAATGTGTCTGGGAAAAGTGCAGTGCAACGCCGCATTCAGCGCTCGTCTGTACAGCTGTGACGCGTTATTAAAAGTGTAACCCAGGCCCAGGGGGTGGTGTGTAATTTTAGAATTAATATACAATTTAGAGCTTGGTGTTTGCAGCCTCTGAATTATTCAAATGTACTTCTGATATGGGCTTGGGTCTGGTGGGGGTAAGGCAGCTGCCATGCATACAAATTAACGTATTATGTCAGTATATGAACAAATGGGAGACAACATAGATTAGGGGAACATAAACATTGGTGCCAGGCAACAAAACAAGATGTTTGCTCTTGTGCAGAGTTCAAACCTGAAAGGCTGCACCATACTAATGGGAATAATCTAGGATGTTCGATTGTTATTTAAGACTGATATTACAGTCTGTCTGTAGGGAAAACCAGTACACCTTCATATGTCAACACAGAATATTGAATAAGAATAATAATAAGAAGAATAATAGGTTTATTCAACACATCAACAAATGTACCTCTGTCACCATAAACTATATTTCATTGCTGTGATATGGATTAATTGTTCATTCATTAAATGTGTAATGTTGGCTAAAATACAGTATCTCAACATACCTCCAGGATGTTTATACATGTAAACGAAGGTGAAAGTTAAAAGCAACTATATTATATATTACAACAACATCAAACTATCCACTGTGTTTAGAACTGGATTCAGTCAACGTAAACTGGTTGACAAATGTGAAACTGAAACACAGAACAGAACAAAACTTGTAAAAAAAAGCTTTTGCTTAAAAGTTAATGTCAGTAATGTCAACAAAGCACTTAAGGGATACTGAATTTAGTTTTTTTCATTGGCAAGTAAAATAAATTGTATTCCTGTTAAAACAAACAATACAGCAACAATGATAGAGGATCTAGTGTTGTGTAGTTGTTTCACCTCACAATATGTACTGAAAAGGCCACCAGCTATAGTAATGTCAACACACATGCATTATTTATTGAAGTGATGAAGTTGGACTGCTTTGGCAGCTTCCACTGGAAACATGTGACCTGACAAACTTGATTAAAATCTCTCCAAAGGAGATTATGGAGAACGTCTCCTGACATAGGCTATGTGCCATTTCTAGTGTGTCACCACACCTGTAAAGATTATTCTAAAAAAATAATACTTTATTAAAAAAAATCTATAATTGTTGTTTTGGTTAAGAATATTGTATTTTTAAATATTTTCTGTAAATAAATATCGAGGGTCTAAAATTGCAAAAGTGCAACAATCCCAATTACAAGGAACCTAGACTAAAACTATGTCTCTTGAATTCTGGACAGGGCTCTTTTAACCTGATACAAGCATAACATAAACACATTTGTCATTTGTTGAAACAACAGGACTTTGCTACACTGAACATGGTCTGTAAACAGCAATAATGTTAGTCTCTCGTTTGCACACCATACCAGCAAAAGTCATCCTTCATAACAGTGTTGCCACGGCTGACACTTTTTATGTGTAATGAGGAGGGTAAGATTATCTCAAAAAGTTCCATCAGGTATTTCATATGGCTAAATCAGTCTATTTATTCCATAAAATTGCATTTCACTGGCAGCCCAAGGTCTTGCTGCAGTCTGCATAACAAGCTCGGTTAGTGTGGCATGCATTCGTTCTGGGACTCCAATTACAGAACATCCGGGAAAACGGCTGGCATTTTTCTGTCTTTGTCTCTTCCGTGTTGACATTCAGTTAGAGTTTATGGGGTGCTGCAATCCCTCGATCTATAATTATAATTTTTATTTATATATTTATATTAAATGTAGGAATATAACATCCATCCATTTTCTAAACTGCTCATCGTGTTCAGGGTTGCAGCACACATTAGGTGAAAGATTGGGCAGGGTACTCCCTCGACAGGTCGGCAGTCTATCACAAGGCAAGGAATATTACAGTCTCAGACAATTGAACACTTTCAAGTATGTACTGTATGTTTTATTACAGGGCAAGGCTGAGAGGGAATTCACCACTCGACAATACAACAGACTATCAGCTGGTCTTGATTTTGAGAGACCAAAGTTTATTAAAACCTCAGACAGGCAAATATTAGAAGTTTTCTTGTCTTGTGGTTTTGCTTTAGGTTGTGCACATGAAGGAAGCCCAGCAATTTAATGAATGTATTCTGCAGTAGTTATAAAACACAGACTGAGTCTCCACCTGTTCTCCACCAGGAATTCTTTGGCATAATTTTGTAAATATTAACTGGATCACTGTACTTGGTTCAGCAGCTCCTGTCTTCTCTCATTGTGGCTCGCTAGATGTCTATTCAAAATGTAAATGGTGACGTAGCTTGTAAAATGGAAGTTTTAATGCTAAATTGACCCCAGTTGCGTAATAATGAGAAGCCTCCAATGTACGGGGTGAATGCTTAAATTATTTATGATTTTCCCTACAGTTAGCTTGCCTTCTTGTTATCGGGGCTGGAAATGAGTTTGCTGAAAACTAGCCAAAGTGAGATCTCCCCTCTCGGCTTACAGAACATGGCGCATTAAAGTGAATCACAGCAGACAGCTGGGGCCGCCCTTTATGGTAATGCACCCTCTACAATTACTGCTTCGACCTTCCCTGGTGAAGAAAAATGGGGAGACGTCCATTTAGCGGCCCTTTCAAACACTTAGTGGCAGACATGTTGGGCAGCAGGACCACCTTTTGCCTGACATTGACTCTTGTTTAGAGGAGACACAGAAGACATTAGAAAGGTGACAGGTTGACAGATGAGATGCATCTGTCAAACAGCAAGAGGACCATATCGCATTAATGCAGCCACACAACCATGTACCACACTGATAGATGAAGCTGCTTGGGGATAATGGTGCCAACTACAGTGGCTATAATTATTGCTTTTATTATAGATTAATCTATCTATTGATTATTATTTAAAGTAAGCAACATATAGTGAAAATGCTCCAAGATATTCAAGTTTACAATAATGTAAAATCAATCGAGTTGAATGCATATTGGTAAGTCCGCGTTACATAAGTCTAGTGTCCGGGGTCGAGTCTAGTCAGTACTACTACAGTGTCTAGTCAGGTCTCGTGGATTAAAAAAAAAATTAAAAATAATATCACAGTCGACCGCTACGTAAGTATATGGCACAAACCTCTATTACCATCAACTGAAACTTATTTCAACTACACTGCATCTAATATAAACTGATACAAAACATGCAGGAGAGGGTGGACATACAGCATTATCCTCCAAAGCTTCATGTAAAAACCATTGTTCAGGTCTGATCTCTTCCACACTCTGTCTCTTTGTTTCACGCCCTTGTGGACCACTACCCATAGCGAAGCTGACACATTCTCTACCACTCTTTTCACATACAAACAAGATTTGGTCAATGCATAATTGAGGATTCTCCTTTAAAATACGATATTGATGTTGAGGTGTTAGGTGGTTTGAACCACAATATGTATCTCTACAGACTATCATTTATTCACGTGACAGGTTGGATAACTCCACAGTGACAAACTGGCTTTCATCCAGAGTTTAAAGTATCCACTTAAGTGAAAACCAGACGAGATCACCACAGCACATGTTTGCACTGGAACATGGTTGGGTGACTGTGTTAAAAGGTGATTATCTGGTGAGATCTTCATGTTGAGCTAAAAATAAAAACTGGTTGAAAGAGGAGGGGACGGAGTGATGTGCTCCTAATGAATTTCGGATTTTGTTAAGATGCTTGTTCCCGTTGCTTTCTATTAAAAAAATAATACATAAATCCTTTATACCATGGATAGTCCCAAAAGATCCCACAGCACATACACGTATACATATTCTGTTGCCTCCATCAGACAACAATCCTACACCTAACCTGTATGGTGTACAAGGCTGGTTGTATACATCACATCTCACAGGACAGGAAGGAGGAGGAAGGAATAAGAAATTTAAAGAAACTCACCCTTTATCCTCAGGCTCTCAGGGATCCCATCCTGTTGGAACAAGAACAAAGAGAAAAAGAAATCACAGTTATAATAAACCACCAGATCATCAGCTTTAACAACATGACACAGAGCTGTTTTCATTTAGCTGAATGTGTTAAATCCTGGTACCATAGAAATCTTATTCTATAGACCACTTAATAAGCAAGTCTTTGCAAATGGCTCAGTGTGCAATTGAGATCATATGTCAATGCATGCATGTGGTTCAGGTCCAAGGATTTAACTTAGTGACTGCAAGAACTCAAACACAATGTGCCTGTTTGAATGGCAATCAATGATACACTCATAAATCAGACAATGTGCCATTAATGTTAAGTGGTCATTTTGCCTCACTTTCATGCACAGTGGTAAAACTTTAAACTTAAACTGGTTATCATAGTCACATTCTTTATGATTTTATCTTGTGCCTTAAGGATATTTTATTTCTTTGTTTTCCTGTTCTTTAGGGATCTTGTTCATGTCGTGCTGTTTGTTGTTCAGATTTGTTTAATTATGTTATCTAATTCTTACTTTGCCTTCTCCTTGAATAAGTAGCTACGTATTGCCTTTAGAATCTGTTATCTTTTCGTATCTTTCTTTCTTCCTTTTCAATTTCTAAGAGATTGGATGTCCATATATGCCTTTTCACTAGTGTCACTTGAGCAAATTAGTAGTTCAGTTTCCTCATTTACAGCAAAGCCAAATATATCTGAACTGTATTTGACAGAAAAAGACATAGTAGACTCACTCAAAAAAAAAGTTCAGAGACATATAAAGAAGAGTAGATAACCACGAACCCTTGAGTCGGTGCACTATAAAATCAGCTGCCTTTAGAGGATGCATGGTGATGATGGCTGTAGAAAATGCTGTTATCAGGACTACTATTCTGAGTAGCTGCTCTCCACAAACCATGAATACGAAAGAAAGAGGCATAAATATTTGATTTCTCTACAGTGAAATCTGCATAGCTCATCCTTCTTGTTCTTGTACAGAAAATTCAGGCTCTCTTTCTACCAGCTCGAGCACTGTGGTGTTATGGAGAAGATGCATTATGCAACAGGTCTACAGTCAATAATGAACAGTGTCCCCTGACTGCCTACTGAAAATAGAAGATTACATATTCCTGGGTTTGCAAAGAAAATCTGCATACTACAATTAATAGAGTATGTCATACGTCTTAAGTATTTTACATATATGTGGATAATTCTAGCCAGGAGATCTCACTGGTTAAAAAATCATTTTGACTGCAAGAATAACTCAGCTCAAACTACTTTTTTGGTTATTACTTTGTACTATACCAGCTGTGTTCCGTCTGTACACTTGCATGAATAAATGATGTTGCTAATGAGACCCTTACCAGAGGAAAGAAAACCCACATGAGTAATAACATATAGCAATAATAATATTTTAAGTCCAAAGTTGAGACTTCCTATGGCAACCCTGCTGCTATTAAGTACAACTGTTTTTATGTACTGCAGCTGAAAAGTTATTATATATAATAACAATTACTAAATCATCATGAATATATGACATTCATGATACAACTGCCTCGATAACACTTTTTTAGAATAGCAATATACATATTTTGGGTAATGCTATAGTTTTATTGATTACTTTCTCAGTGATCTTTTTGCCACATTTGAGAAGATGGAAGAAGCTGATTTTCAGCATTTGTAATGAGATATTTTGACTAAAATGAATACAAACATTACCACTTTCAGAGGCAAGCTTAGGACCAGTCACAACCAATTAACATTTGATGATTTTAAAGCCTGGAAATATTCCCTCTGGTGTAAAGCCTTATTTACCCAGCTATACAATCAGCCTACTCGATTTGTTGTTGAAAATCAGTTGAGATAAAGTTGAGATGACACTATAAATCTATAAACTAAAACTAAGTTAAACATCATGATCTGGTAACAAGCTGTCCCTGCATATCATCTTTCTGGATGTTTTACAAAACATTGTTGACTAGCGACCCAGTAGGCCCAAATCACTGAAAACACCTGTGGCTCTCTGACATTCTTTCTATCCTCCCCACCCTCTGGAGGAGGTGACATTTCGAATTGCACTACAGGTAGGGAAGATATCAAATGGGGCTTATTTGCATATGGCAGACAGTGTTCACACTTCATTTGTTTGAAGAGAGTGATTTCCCCAGAGCCGCTGGCAGGCCCATCTCTGCTGCTCTGAGACTCTAGGGACAGTGAAGCACCCAGCTGTACAACCTGTGGTTCATCTGCCCCTGTCACAGCTAGCTGGCTGACCGCCCACATCTCTCTCTCTCTCTCTCTCTCAGCCTTGGAGTGACTTTGGTGCAGAAACAGGGAGGAGGGGGGGAGGAAGTAATAACAAACCATCACACTGACCACCAGACCAAAACAGTCACACAGTAACAGATATCAGGATGTCTGCAGGTCCCCAACAAGTCCTCATAAGTCCTCATAAGTCTGTCTTTTGTAGTCATTTAAAATCGAAATCGATCGAAGTTACATCTCGATCTCGAACTCCGAACTCAAAGGTAGAGTCGACGACGCAGCCACACCCCCGACGTCACGTCCAGCAGACGCAGAGCAAAACCACACACAGTGCTGAATGCGCGTACACTCTCTAGTTTAGTGCTGTTAAAATACACAACGACCTGAAATACGAAGCTCCTCTCATATCTGATTCTGGTCGTTCTTTGCATTAATTATTACTAATGAAATCTACTGACAGATGATCTAGTTACAGTCCAAAATGACTTTAAGGCTTAAAATGCACATTGATAAGTACATATTCCATGAACACTAACCTTGGGTCTCTTCGTGCTGAAACAATCAAATCATCATTCTGTGTTTCACTATGTTCACGTCTCTGTGGGAGTACGGACTTACGTCAAGGTGAGACCGCACGGCATCATGGGTAATTAACATGTTGTAAAAACAACTGTACACAACTGTAAGATCACTCGTAGAATCACTGGGCTAAAACAACTACTAACTGTAAAGACTACTGTACACGAACGTATAAACAACATCAAACTACTGTAACAACTGTAAACATACTGATACACTGGTAAACTACTGCTACACAACCTTTTTTTTTTAAACCAACTATAAACTACTGCTTAAACAAACTGCTAAACAACTATAAACAACTGATAAACTACGTGTAAACAACTGCGTAAGACCAACTATAACTGTAAACGTACTGCGTACAACAACTATAAACAACTATAAAACAACTGGTAAACAACTGCATAACTATAAAACTGACGTAAAGACTACTGTAAACAACTATAAACAACTATAACACAACAGGTAAACAACGTATAACTATAACACTGACTGTAAACTTACTGTAAAACTATAAACAACAGTAAACAACAGTACGACAACTGTCAAACAATACTCATAAACTATAAACTACTGTACACAACTGTAAACAACGTAAACTACTGTACACAACTGCTAAACAACAGTAAACAACTCCTAGAACAACAGCTAACAATATGAAACAACTATAAACTACTGTAACACAACTTTACAAAACTGTAAATCAACTATAACGTGCTAAACTACTGGCTACACAACTATAAACAACTGATAAACAACTGTAAACAACTGATAACTATAAACGCTACTGTTAAACAAACTATAAAACAGAACTATTTAAACACACCAGGTTAAACAACTATAAACTATGAAACTTACTGCTAAACTACTGGGTAAGACTGACTGGTAAACAACTATTACAACAACATGTAAACAACAGTAAACAACTGGAAAACAACTATAACTTAAACTACTGTACACAACTGCCCTAAGACACACAGTAAACCTACTGTACACAACTGTAAACAACAGCTAAACAACTGTGAAGACAACCTATAAACGTATAACTACTGTAACTCAACTAGTAACAACTATTAACAACTGTGAATCACTGTAAAACAACTATAAACAACTGCTAAACAACTGTACACGCTGTAGGGGAGAATGGCTGAAGTTGGTTTCTGTGTTGGATGGGGGTCAGTGAGATTCTGGAGGGGGTCTCTGGGTGGAGCGACTGAGTTTGGGGCTGTAAGGTTGCGTGAGGGTTTTTGGTGAGTGTGGCCGTACAGGATGGTGCTGCAGTTGTGGATTGGGAGCTGAGGATGAGGATGTTTTTTGAAGTTGTGGTGTGAAGGTGACACCGGAGGTGGGTGGCATTTGGGAGTGGAAGCAGCATTATGCAGAGGTAGGCGTGTCACGATTCTCCAATCCTCGAATTCGATTTAATTTTCGGATGTTAAAGTCACGAATTCGATTCCCACTGGTTAAATCACCACTTTTTGTTCAATGATTACTGATTAATGGCATGTCTTATATGTTATTTACTTTTTTGGCCTTTATCCTATTTGTTCTCGGGGGGCCTTTTTCATTTTTGAAAACCACTTTGTTATTTTGAAACTTCCAACCGCGGAGGTTGAAACAGAACAAACATTAAACAGTGCAC